ACAAAAAAAAAAACAAAACAAAAATGAATGGAAAACCCTCAATTAAGTGGAAAATAAAATTAAATGGCCGGTGTTGCCCATCCGTAAACTTCTCTATTTGTTTGTTAAATGTCACTTGAATGTATGTAAGTAAAGTTAAAGAAAATAGAATGATATTTAGCTGAGACCAGATGGCTTAAAGCAACCTGTATATAACACAGATGAAACTAAAATAGCGCTTTTTGAGTCTTGATAGCAGTTATTGAGCAAGAGCAAGGCGTATAACTGGAAAATGGAAAACTGGTTCTGGATTCTCGGCTGTTCTCTTTCAATCTTGACAATGGCTGGAAATGGATTTGTCATCTTCATAGTTTGCAGGAAACGACGACTTCGAACGAAAACGAATGCCTTCATCGTTTCATTAGCAGTGGCCGATTTCTTCGTAGGGATGACCGCAGTTCCTTCACTCTACTTCTGCGAGATAACAAGTGGATGCGACTCACAAACTCTGTTATCCGACGCAATAGACTTTATAAGGTGGCTGTTCGAGTACGCATCAGCCGCAAACTTGTGTAGCTTAGTACTGGATCGTTACATTGCTGTCGCGAAGCCTTTGAAATATTTGACTTTCATGAAGCGCCGTCGAGTGATACAAATGACGCTCATATCGTGGGCAGTCCCAGTAATGTTTATTGTAATTGTATCTTCAGTCTGGTTTAATTTAAAAACACATATCGCCATTAGTGCTATCGGCTGGCTTTGTTTGGTTCTTGAGTTGCCGTTGTGTCTTTTGGTAATTTTCTGCTTTGCGTCCATATTACGCGTTGTTTGGAAACACGAGCGATCCGCTCGTACCCTGGCCAAACAGTTACGGTTTAATCACCAAGTTCTCTTTAAGACTCAGGAGAAGCCTGTGATTAAAATGATGGCAATTGTTTTGGGCTTGTTCCTATTCTGTTACGGCTTGTTTTTGCGATGTAGTTTTGTGTATATTCTCAATGATCACAAACCATGCAGTGATCTCGAATATAAGATACCTATTGCGGTTTTAAACTCAGCTGTAAACCCTTTAGTTTATGCCATCTTCAAGAGAGACATAAAAAACGAGTTTAAGAGACTATTGTTTAAGCGTAACTAACTTTAGCAACGATGAACTTAAAAAATAGGAATAAATAAAGAGAGAAATCGATCAATCAATCTTTATTTAAGCACGATATCTTACCATAAAAATGGTCTTCCTAAGAGTCGTGAAAATTACACAAAAAATGCATTAGCTATATTGACAGGAATACATGAATTACATTAACCAACGAGCTACTTAAGTAAGAAAGACAATCAAAACGCATATAATAAAAATTTCTTTAATCTATGGTGTATTAAAAATACTATTTCCCATTCACTAATGTTTTAAAATCATTTCAACTAGGCAGGTGTCTGATTTCCGAGGGAATCATCTTCCAAAAAGTTAAATCTTGTTCTGAAATGTCACAACAGCACCAATTTATTGTAAAAAGATTAAAATTGTGAAATGAAATCTTTTTGAAACCCAAAATTTCATGCAGAATAACAGAAATTTAAGTTAAACTTCGGCGAAACACCCTTTAAAGACATGGTTACCGTAGAAACGTCTGATCACGTGACAAGATAAAGGACACACTAATATACTGCCCACTAAATTTTCGGGGAAGTCACAAATTTTGAAACCATAGCTTAAATACACTTTAAGTAAGAAAAGTCTGCGATCATCAATGAGGAAAGAAAGGAAAATCCAAAATGGAAACGTAAAGAAAAAGAAAACAGATGTCCTTTTTTTGCAAGCGTGTTCCAGCTTTGCCTCATGACGAGAGTGCACCAGTTATTATATTACGTTATGACGTAGTTTTATTGTCATATAAATTTCAGACGCACAACCTGCGAAATTAAAACTGTCGTCAGTGAGTTAGATTCAGAGGAACTCCAACTGATAACAGTTCTTCTGCTAGCAAGTTATTATTTGACAGTTAGGAAGCAAATATGACGCATTGCTTGGTGGTTGTTTAATCACTATTTCATTGCCCTAAAAATCAGGAACCCATTGAAAAGATGTCAAATTTGGTATGTCAAAACATCAATCAGAAGTGTCATAAAGGAATAAGTGTTTTAATTCTAATACTGTTTTATACCGTTATTAATTTCAGCTAAGACCAAATAACGTTTTGCTGTCAATTCCAAAATGAAGGACTGATCGATTCACGTTTGGTTGTCAACCATAATAGCAAAATGAAGAGAACTGAGAACATTTCCATTTCTTGCTCAATGATGTTGTTTGAATATAAATGCTGCAAAATGTACATAGTGGTAAACAGGTGAGGATTAAAACAACCTTCTTTTATTACAAAAGAGAACAAAAATGCGGTTGTGCAGCGTATAAAAAAGGCACCTGCCTCTGACTAAAACTACATTTCTCTTTTGGATTTTCATTTTGCTTCAATAAACCGGAAAATGTAACGCATTTAAAATCGTTGCCCAGCTAGGAGCTATCCTTATTCACTATCAAATGTCACTGGAATATAGTGTCAGTTATGTTAACTGTAATGCAAACGGCCGGTTAGTTGAATAATAATTAACTGCCACAGGATGGCTTAAAACAAGCCTGCATATAACAGGATAAAACAAGCGCCTTTCTGGTTTTAACAACGATTATTGAGCAAGAGCAAGCCGTCGAACTGGAAAATGGAAAACTGGTTCTGGATTCTCGGCTGGTCTCTTTCAATCTTGACAATGGCTGGAAATGGATTTGTCATCTTCATAGTTTGCAGGAAACGACGACTTCGAACGAAGACGAATGCCTTCATCGTTTCATTGGCAGTGGCTGATTTCTTCGTAGGGATGAGCGCAGTTCCTTCACTCTATTTCTGCGAGATGGCGAGTGGATGCGACTCTCAAGGTCTGTTATCTGACGGAATAGACTTTATAAGGTGGCTGTTCGGGTACGCATCTGATGCGAATTTGTGCGGTCTCGTGCTGGATCGATTCGTTGCTGTCGCGAGACCTTTACGATACTTGACTTTCATGAAGCGCCGTCTCGTAATTCAAATGATTTTCATATCTTGGGCAATCCCACTGACGTTTAGTGCTTTTGTGTCACTACTAAGGTTTAGTTTAAAAACACCTCTTAACATTACTATTATCGCTTGGTTTTGCCTTGTTCTTGAAGTACTGTTGTGTGGCATTGTAATCTTTTGTTTCGCTTGTATGTTACGCGTTGTTTGGAAACACGAGCGATCTGCCCGCATCCTGGCCAAGCAGTTACGGTTTAATCATCAAGTCTGGCGTAAAACTGAGGGAAAGTCGGCTGTTAAAATGATGGCAATTGTACTAGGCTTGTTTCTCATTAAATACGGAATTGCTTTACGTTGTAGTTTTGTACATATTCTCGATGACAATGAACTATGTAACGATCTCCATTATAAGGTACCTATTGTTGTTTTAAACTCCGCCATAACCCTTTAGCTTATGCTATCTTCAAGAGGGACATAAAGAAACAGTTTAAAATACTCCTGTGTAAAGGTAACTAACTCAATAAGCAGTGAAGAAATACAAAAACAGTAATTAGTGTGAATAGCTGTATTGTATATTGAATAATCTGTGAAACGAGTGAGTTAAAATTGATTAAAATTTAAGAAAACAAAATAAAAGAGCATCCGAGGAAGAATTTTTACATAGAATAAATCACAAAGGTAATAAAATAAAACAAGAAAAGAAATTTAAGCTTAACGCGCGAACTGTAGAAACCTCTGATCACGTGACAAAGTAAAGGCCACACTGATATACTGCTTTATAAATTAGGGGAAAGTTACAAAGTTTGAAAACCATAGCTTAAATGCTGTTTAAGTAAGAAAAGTTTGAAATTATTGCGGGGAATTTAAAATTTAAGCCTCTTTGAAAGAACTGAAAAGAAAGGAATGAATAGAAAAGATAAGAAGGAAAGAAAAGAAAAGCGAAAGTTGGAACGTAAAGAAAAAAATGGAAACGAACGCCCTTTTCTTGTGAGCGTCCGCCAGCTTTGGCTCATCTCGTGACTTCGCCAGTTATTGTAATGAAACGTTCAACACACTACATGCGCTTTAATCGATGCCACGAAATGTACAATTCAAACGGTGATAAACGATGAAAGCGAAGAAAGCGATGAAAAGCGAGCGCTTGATACAAACAAAATAAATTACAAGTTATGAAGGAATACAATAAAAGAAACAGAGATAACGAGCCAAAGGTAGACGATACTTACAAACGTTGTATGACTAGGACGGCTAGGAACACGATAGAGGAAAGCGGAAGGCAATAAATGAAACGAGATCACTGTAACATCGCGATGAAAATGCACAAATAGACTAGAAAAACGCATACTGAAACAAAACAAAATTATGCGAAAAAACCTAACAGAATATTGATAACGTGAAAGCGAGATAAACGAGAAGAATGCGATGATGACGGAAATAACGCGAGTACAAACGGAAAAAATAACAAAGAATTAAATGCGGCGGTACCGCCAGTCACTTCACAACGTCTTGACGTAATTTTACTGCCATATAAATGGCAGATGTATAACAAAAACTGAAGTCAATCTGTTAGACTCAAAAGAACTCCAATAGCATTTCTTCAGAGAACAAGTTATCTCCCGGGTAGGAGGCAAAATTTGACGTGTTGCACGGTGGTTTCGTAATCAACATTTTATTGCCCAAGAAATTTGAAAACTCATAAAAATATGTTAAATTTGGTGTGTTAAAATTAAGCGTTAATCAAAATCGTCAGGGAGGAATTGTT